CAAGAGCAAAGTAGGATGACTATAGTTAACAATTTCTTGTACATATATATATATATATTTTTTTATTTTTTTATTTTTGAGACAGTCTCATTCTGTAGCCCGTGCCGGAGTGCAGTGGCGCGATCTCTGCTCACTGCATCCTCTGCCTCCTGGGTTCAAGCAATTCTCATGCCTCAGCCTCCCTCGTATCTGGGATTACAGGCACAGGCCACCACACCCAGCTAGTTTTGTGTTTTTAGTAGAGAAGGGGTTTCATCATGTTGGCCAGGATGATTTCAAACTCCTGACCGCAAGTGATCCATCCACTTTGGCTTCCCAAAGTGCTGGGGTTACAGGTATGAGCCACCATGTTGGGCCAGTTTCTTGTGTATTTTAATTTCAAATGTTAAGTAGAAGATTTGAAATGTTCCCAACACAAAGAGATGATGTATATTTCAGGTGCTGGATATCCTAAATCCTCTGATTTTATCATTACACGTTCTATCCACGTGGGCAAATATTACTGTACACTATAAATATGTAAAATTACTGTTCCTCAATTTTTTAAAAATTGATACATACATTTACATATTTATAGGGCACAATGTGATGTTTTGAGATACACATACACACACACACTCTCTCTCTCTCTCTCCTTGTGGAACGATTAAATCAACCTAATCTATTTCCTTGTGCTTTTTAAAAAAGCATCACTATAAAATTTTAAATTGTATATATAGCACATAGAATATTTCTACGGGACAGCACTGATCAAAAATTTTTAAAGGAGACTCTGAAAATAATATACCTTCAGCCGGGCGCAGTGGCTCACGCCTGTAATCCCAGCACTTTGGGAGGCTGAGGCAGGCAGATCGCGAGGTCAGGAGATCAAGACCATCCTGGCTAACACGGTGAAACCCCGTCTCTACTAAAAATACACAAAAAAATTAGCAGGGTGTCATGGCGGGCGCCTGTAGTCCCAGCTACTTGTTAGGTTGAGGCAGGAGAATGGTGTGAACCTGGGAGGCGGAGCCTGCTGTGAGCTGAGATCCCACCACAGCACTCCAGCCTGGGTGACAGACCAAGACTGCCATCTCAAATAATAATAATAATAATAATAACAACAACACATCTTCAACTGGCAAAGAAAGACAGACATGTGTGCGTGTGTGTGTATATATATATACACACATATATATATAATTTCCCACCCTATTTCTCCGAGAAGAAAATGGTACAGCAGAGAGGGCTTGGATCTGGAACCAGGACTACTCTTAGGTTCCAGGCACAATTCTTACTGTCTGGTCTATGTGCCCTTGAATAAATCATTCAGCTTCAGCCGCATGCAGTGTCTCACGCCTGTAATCCCAACACTTTGGGAGGCTGAGGCAGGTGAGTCACCTGAGGTCAGGAGTTTGAGACCAGACTGGCCAACATGGTGAAACCCCGTCTCTACTAAAAATACAAATATTAACTGGGCGTGGTGGCGCACGCCTGTAATCCCAGCTACTCGGGAGGCTGAGGTAGGAAAATCATCTGAGCTCAGGAGGTGGAGGGTTGCACAGAGCCGAGATCTCACCACCGCACTTCAGGCTGGGCGACAGAGGGAGATTCAGCCTCAAAAAAAATTAAAAAAAAAAAAATCACTGAACTTCCCTTAAGTTTCCTGACCTTTTTTTTTTTTTAAAATTCAGAAAAGTCAACAAAGGCCAGGTGTGGTGGCTCATGTCTGTAATCCCAATCGTTTGGGCAGCTGAGGCGGGAGGACTATTTGAGCCAGGGAGGTTGAGGGTGCAGTGATCCTTGATCATGCCACTACACTCCAGCCTGGGCCACAGATCAAGACCATCTCCGTAAAATAAATAGGTAAAAGTCAAGCGCAAACGTATTACACTCCTGTTTTACAAAGTATATTTCCATTACGGCAGATCTTCAGCTTACAAATTAACTGGAGGTGGGATCCAAACATACTAAGATTATACAAGGCAAAATGAAGAGAGCCCTAGATGAGCCTCTGTGTTTGTGTGGCATGCGCACGTGTCTGCATGTGTTTTAAAGGTGAAAGAGTACACTGAAGGACTCAGGGTAAACTCTAAGCACTTAGAAGGCTCCTTCTAACTCTAAAATTCTATTCTCTTAAAAAGCCTTAATCATACTGTACGCTACTACATGGTTTAGTGATACACGGAACAGATATTCCGTCAAGTTTTCCCGGTAAACACAATGACACATTAGGAAGTAAATGACATGCCGTAATGAGGTTCTACTTTACCCGAACAAAAAATTCTGCAGTACAGTTCAAGTTTAACCAGGGCAAAATAACCTTCAGATAGCTCAGAGTTTTGTTTTGTTTTTAATACAAGCTAACTTTTGGTGACAAGCACACACAAGAAAAGTGGATTTTTCTTTAGCAGAAAACACTTAGCAAGTTAGGCTAGCCTCCGAGGAGACTAGCCACAGCACTCCTCACACCAAACACAAAATAGACCTAACAGTCTCCTCCTCCTCGTCCCTCCTCTATCTTTAGGGGTAATGATATACCGTGACACTCAAATGCTGTTATTGTAGTGGTACTTCCATAAACTAGACAAACATGACAACTATTGTATTTAGGTCACAAACTCACAAAAGAAAAATCCATTCTGAAAGTAAGTTGACAACTATATCATCATATAAATAACCAAAACTTCCATGAAAACTCAAAGATCCCTAACATGAGGAATTGCTTGTTTCCAGCATTCCTTGTAGAGGTAGAATATCCCCATTTTAAGGGTAGGAAAATTGAGGAACAAGTACTGAATTCACAAGTCTTCGCTGAGATAAGGAAACGTAATAGCATAAATTTTGCTAGGAAATGCATATTATGGTTTTGTAAGAAAGTCTAACCCACGGTCCAAGAAGCCCAGATTTTTATCTGTTAATGGCATGAAAGGCTTTCTGAGAGGATTCTATTGTTCTCTCAGAAAAAGAAGAGTAACAGTCCCAAGTCATTCTGGTTTCCCTTAGTAACTCTTTCTTAAATAGTTGTGAATGTTATCTACATAGTTTATAGCTTGTTCTTATTCTCAAACTGGTATACCAGTTCTAAAGTCAGAATTTTATCATGCTCCCTAAAAACCACTATCAGAACTTCTCATCTGTCCCAAGTCGATTTTTAAGAAATAATTTAAGGCATTTCTTAAAATTCTGGAATTTGGTGGAAAAGCTCATGTTTGCCTATCCAAACCCTCCATGAATGTAAGCGTCTTCATCCACAGCCCTCCTACACATTTCTCTTTCCTGAAGGCAACCTAAAGGCAAGCAGTATGGGTCAGTGGAACCGCAGCCTGGAGGCAGAGGCGGGATTTCCAGCCTCTGGACCTCCAAGGGCTCAGAAAAAATGAAAACATTGGACAGGACATTCCAAATGTTCTCATCCAGATCTGAAATACTTTTTTTCTTTTTTTGAGACGAGTCTCGTTCTGTCGCCCAGGCTGGAGTGCAGCGGCCCAATTTCGGCTCACTGCAACCTCTGCCTCCCAAGTTCAAGCGATTCTCCTGCCTCAGCCTCCCAACTAGCTGGGATTACAGGAACTCGCCACCACGCCCGGCTATTTTTTGTATTTTTAGTATAGGCGGGGTTTCACCATCTTGGCCAGGCTGGTCTTGAACTCCTGACCTTAGGGTGATCCGCCCACCTCAGCCTCCCAAAGTGCTGGGATTACCGGCGTGAGCCACCGCGCCCGGCCACACTTTTTCTTTTAACCTGTTCGATCATGTTAAGACACCTTTTGCTGTGCTCTTTCTTCAACTCTATTGTGTGTTTAAGACCTCATAAGAGTGGCCTGTGTTCCAAAACAAAAAGTACATTACGACTTCGTAGGGTGGTTTTCATTATGGAACTGAAGCTACTTTTGACAGACTCACCTTGCATCAAGTTCTCCCTGAGACAACGGGAGGGGAAATGTGTGGGGTGTGGATGGAACAGGAATAGCCACAGTTAAGTGGCTGAGGAGGCCAGACCAAGTACAAAGTACATGCTGGTTCCCTATTCCATCTATTTTCCTGTGTCTGAAATTCTCCAAAATACAAAGTTTAAAAAAAAAAAAAAAAAAAAAGCACATCTCTTTCAAAGAGAAAGAAGTATACTCGATTGGCATTATTACAGGATTTTGTCTGCAGACTTTGGTATGGTATAACTGCTCTTCACACCATTTCCCTTGGATTGAAATAGAATCTACAAGACATGAAACTAATCAGAACTCCTCAAAGCTCAGCCAAAATTAAGAAAACGGACCAGAACCAAAATTCCTCAAATAACCTCAAGGTTATCAATGAGAAGATTCATGGTGATACTTGGCAGAGGATGGAACTCATTTCCATTGTGCTACACCGTATGTCTCCTATAAGCTATTTTCCGCACTTCTGAAGAGCTAAACTTCAGCCTTCTGTGACACGGAAAGCGAGGAAATAAACAAGCCCCAGTGAGAGGAGGATGCCTCGGAGGGCGCTGAAATAAAAAAGGAAAGACAAGGGATTTCGGGAGTTAAGAAATCCTAAAGAAAGAAAAATGGGAGCATGCATTTGGAGAAAGAGAGGGGAAAGACAAGCATCTCAGGGCAACCAGAGAACACAGGAAGGGGAATGACAGGGGAAGGCGCTTCCTGGCGCTCCAACGCCCTGCAGCCCTCGCCACCCACATCCCCGGACTCCCGGGGCGGGAGGGCTGCGGACACCTGGGACTCGGGGGAGGCGCGGGGCTCCGAGGAAACGGGCTCGGAGGGCAGGGGAGCGGAGAGGCGGGCAACCGGGGCTCGGGGCGGGCGCGGACCGTTCCATCGGGGACGGGGGGCACCCGCTCCACCCGCCGGGGATCCCCGGGGCGCGGCGATGGTGCCTCCTGACGCTGGCGCAGCGTCGCCGGGGCGTCCCAGACCGCAGGCCCCGCGCGGCCGCCCGAGCCCGGCCTCCTCGTCCCGCTCTCGGCTCCCCGGAGGCCGGGGACTTTGAAGGAAGGGGCCAGCTCTTTCCTACTTACTGACCGCGAAGCTCAGCAGCTCCAAATCCCGCCGCGACCGGTCCCTCCCGCCCTTGCCAACGCCGCGGGCCCAAGCTGCGTCAGGACGTGCGCGCGCCCGCCTTTGTCTACGCTGCCCAACGTGACCTTGCGCCCACCGCCCCGCGCGCTCCCGCAGGGCGCGCGCGGGCCGGCAGGGCTGGGGCCTAGGAAGAGGCGGGTGCCGCGTGGCCGGGCCCGCGGGGTGGGCGCGCCCGGGAAGCGAGGAGTCGCCCCCTGGCGGACGAGGGGCCACTGCCCGGGGCGGGGCGGCAGCGGGAGAGGCCGGGCCCTGGCCGCCCCTCCGCTGGCGCGTCCCTGTCAGATAAGCGGAGCGCTTCCCTGCGTCAGGACCCGATACTGGCTCCCTACCCGGAGGTTCGCACGTGCGTTCCGGAGAGGGTGAAATCAACCCTGCACCGCGGTAAGAGGCTAGAGTCACGAAATCACATTGTCTTCTTGGGGCTGCTGTCCGTGTGCAGCGACATTCTGCCCGTAGAGGACTCAGGTCAGGGCCTGGTACGCTCAAGATCTGTTAGCTGCCAGCACCATCACCCCCATCATCACCACGACCACCGTCATCACCAGCAGCATCCCTTAATCTTGTCTGCCTTGCTTCTCAAGCAAGGTGCTCCAGGAGTGGGTGTGGGCCACCTTTGCCCTCCCTCGCAGATGCAACTTGCCAACTTCCACCTCCACTTGGACCTGCTGTCTCTACTCAAGTCTAGCTGGTGCCTGCTGGAGTTTCTTACCATATCTTCTGACTTCACACGCCTAACCCAAGCTTATTATCTCCCCTAATATTGGACCTCTTTAAAATATATATTACCTCTTTTCCTGTTCTGAAAAGACAGTTTGCCTTTAGTGCCAAGCCCTCTCCGCCGGTTTACGCTGTACACTGCTGTCAGATTGTCATTCCATGCTAAATGCATAATCTGATAATGAAATCTTTAGGGTAAAGTCCACATTCTTAGACCTCAAAATCTCTGTAAAAATAATGGGCAGGGTATGGTAGTTCATGCCGGTAATCCCAGCGTTTTGGGAGGCCAAGGCAGGAGGATCTCTTGAGGCCAGGAGTTTGAGACTAGCCGGGGCGACATAACGAGACCCCCACTTCTACAAAAATTTTTAAAATTAAAAAAAAGAGTGGGGGGAGCGGGGCGCAGGTAGCTCACGCCTGTGATCCCAGCACTTTGAGAGGCAGAGGCGGGCAGATCACTTGAAGCCAGGAGTTTGAGACCAGCCTGGCCAACATGGTGAAACCCCGTCTCTACTAAAAATACAAAACTTAGCCGGGGCTGGTGGCTCGCACCTGTAATCCCGGCTACTAGGGAGGCTGAGACAGGAGAATTGCATGAACCCAGGAGACAGATGTTGCAGTGAACTGAGATTGTGGCACTGTACTCTAGCCTGGGTGACAGAGCGAGACCCTATCTCAAAAAAGAAAGAAAGAAAGAAAGAAAAGAATAACCACTTTGCTCCAAAACACTGGACTACTCATCTCCACCAAATATAACTAAATGTTACCCATTTGGAACTGATCACATATTTATTAACTCAATCACTTATCCATTCATTGAGCCCTTGTTACTTGCCCAGCTTTTTTGGGGATCCCAATTCAAGATTGAGTAATGCATGGCCATGTCTAATCTTCAACTACATTAAATTCCATAAGAGGGCCGGGCGCGGTGGCTCACGCCTGTAATCTCAGCACTTTGGGAGGCCGAGGTGGGCGAATCACGAGGTCAGGAGATCGAGACCACCGTAAAACCCCATCTCTACTGAAAATACAAAAAATTAGCAAAAAAAAAAAAAAAAAAAACTAAGGAACTACCGGGCCGCCGGGCTCACACTTGTAATCCCAGCACTTAGGGAGCCCGAGGCGGGCCGGATCACGAGGGTCAGGCATTCGAGATCCCAGCTTCGAAACCAACTGGTGAAACCCCGCATTTACAAAACATACAAAAATTACCGGGTGAGTGGGCGTGCACACCGTGAATCCGCACTGGAGGCCTTGAGCAGGAGAATCGCTTGAACTGGAAGGCGGAAGTAGCAGGAAGCTGAGAAGATCGCACATGACCTCCAGCCTGGGCGACGAGGAAGAATCCATCTCACAAAAAAAAAAGAAACCAGACCCATCATACATTTTTGTGTTCTCACAGTGGCCCAGAATAGGATTTAAGTGGCCCACTAGGAGTCTCAGCTGCCTTGGAGC